AGGCCAGGGTCTTTGCTCACCCACATTTCAGCCTACTTCCAGGTGGTTTTCTGTTCCTTCCAGCTGGCAATATGGCAGGCAGGCTGGTACATTGTGGAGGACACAGCAACCTGGGAGCTGGGAAATCGGGCTCTAGTCCTGACTCTGCCACTGACTGAACTTGGAATGCTGGAAATGAGGCTGACCAGGCTACATCTAGGGAAAATGACAACTTTATTCTTCATCCAGGAAAGTAGCTCAGCTCATAGCATTGACCAGGAAAGGAGGCCCTGAAGGTTTCTGGGCCCTTCCCCCACATCCCTGTGCAGAGACTTCAGCCCTCTTCCCTGAGCTCCCTTCTTCAGCCTCCAAACAAAGGAAACAGGAGCTTTTACCAAAGTTCGGAAATGCAGTACCCTCTGTCTAGGAAGGCATCTTTTGCTCATTTGGATGGAGGAAGAGGGGGTCAAGGTATAGCTCCTTTCTTTCTTTTTTTTTTTTTTTTTAAAGAGAGAGTGAGAGAGGAGAGAGAGAGAGAGAGAATTTTTAATATTTATTTTTTAGTTCTCGGCGGACACAACATCTTTGTTGGTATGTGGTGCTGAGGATCGAACCCGGGCCGCACGCATGCCAGGCATGGCGCGCTACCGCTTGAGCCACATCCCCAGCCCATAGCTCCTTTCTTAAGAAGACTTTTTTTTTTTTTTTTTTTTAGAAAAAAAGGGACAAACAACCTTCACATCCACATGTAAGGGCTTAGTGAGATGAAGTGTGGCAGAACTACACAATGGACCACTATTGCCACAGGATAATAAGAGAGATCACAAGGTACTGCAAGAAAGAGGAACCCCAATGCGGTGTCAAGCAAAGCACAGACTATACTGAGTATGTCCAGTAAAATCTCTTTTATGTTTAAAAAGTAGGTATCTCTTTTATGTTTAAAATCTATGCATGCATATGTGTACATATTTGTGCACGTGGCCCACTCACATTAATAGTGGAAAAGTGCAGCAACTAATGATAGGGATCCCTGGGGCTGGGATAACAGGGGATTTTCCCTTTATGCTTTATACTATTATGAGCTATTGAACTTTTTATTTTTTTTACAAGTGGTATTAGTTTAATCAGCCCAAACAATAAAACATATTCCCATTCTGAAAATAAAATAACTATTCTAGATAGATGCAAAGTCCTATTGGCCCGCAGAGAAAAGCAATCAGGATAAAAATTACCTTGCCCTAAAAACACACCGAAAAGAAAAAAAAATACATAACTAGCTTGGGAAGGAGGAAACACCAGGTCTATGTTTTAAAGATGCGCGCCCACATCCCTCCACACGTAGCAAATCTCCACTTCCCACTTTCATCCTAGATCCTCTTCAATCCATCTTCTTTCTAGAAATGTTAATAGGAATGAGAAGACTGTTGATATTTATTGATATCCGTTGCTATTTATTGAGCATGTATTGTGTGCCAGGCACTTTGCACATATTCTTTTCTTTTGTCCTCATGACATCACTCTGAGGTAGGTATTATTACTATTCCCATTGGCAGATAAAGGAACTAAGATCAGCTCAAGAATTCAGCCCAGGCAGCATAACTCTAAGGCTGTGATTGTGCCCATTTTTCTCTAAGCGTCCTTCCCAGATGTGCGGAGTTTTTGGTTTCCTCTCGTGCTCTGGAAGAAGGTTTCAAGGTCTGCAGTCTCTGTCCACCTCTTCTTGTCTTCACCAATTCTGGCCACTGCCTTCTAAGTTAAAACAGCTGGCCTACCTCTCCGGAGTCCAAAGCTAAATGTGATGCAGYCTCTGCCCTCTATCACCTCAAAGGGGAAAAAGACAGAAACTTCCACCTTCACATTCCACATCCAGCCAGAGGAAGTGCGGTGACAGGTGAAGTGTTAGGTTTCCCTTTGCCATGGCATCCTCAGGAGACCTTCCTTAACAAGGTCTCTCCAGCAGCTGGGAATACAGCTGGCATGGTGACTGGCCACCACCCAGTCTCTCTCTGGTGCCTCTCACTCATATTTGCCGACCCTGAACCCCTAAGCTGTGCCAGAGAGCAGCTAGGAGCAGCCTGAGCATTTGCAATGACTAATGGACATCACCTGATCGCTGTTCAGGCCCAGAGGGCAAAAAGAGGCCCAAGCGCCGCAGTCTGGCTGGGCACAATCAGGAGCCACTTGTCAAAAGAAACTAACTTTATTTTTAGAACACACACACCAAACAAAACAGCTCCTCAGGAAAAACCCTCAGAGCCCAACTGCCACCACCGGCTTCCCACAAGCCTCTCCCCCTCCCCCACTCCTCCTGCTCTTGAGGCCGATTGGCTGGGTCGTGTGGGCGGAGCCAAAAAAGTTCCCCAATGAGCAGCTCCGTGGTCTGAAAGGGCAGGGAAACAGCCCAATGAGCATCACYGCAGAGGAGCCAATCAGCTAGAAGTTGCTGGGGCCGCTGTGAGCCACTCATCAGCTGGAAGTCTGAAAGTTTGCTGGGGCCCCTTCGGCTGTGGCTCTCAACATCCAAGACCAGAGGCCTTCACAGACCCTGTGTGAACATCATTCCTGCTTTCTAAGCAAATAAGTACTGGTGTGGAGTGTAAATTGGTACAACTACTTTGGAAAATATTTTGAGAGTTTCCTCTAATGCTAAACTAGTGTACCCTAGGACCCTGCCATGGCTCCCTGGTACATGGCCAGCAGCAATGAATGATTCTATGTCTACCAAAGATACGTATAAGAATGTCAACAGCAGCTTTATTTCTCATAGCCAAAGACTGTAAATTGCCCAAATGTCTGTCACATAATGAAGAAGCCAGGGTCTACTCACACAATAGAATACCACCTAGCAACATGGGAGGACTTCACAGTCATAAAGCTGAGTGAAAGAAGACAGAAAAACACATGCTATAGGGTCCCCTGTAAGCAGGGAAAATGAGTCTGGTGATGGGGGTTAGACTAGAGGTGACTTTGGAACAAGAGCTGACCAGGGGAAAGGAGGCTTCTGGAGCCTGGAATGTTCCACATCTTGGCCTGGGAGTAGTTACAGGGGCATTTACTTACATAAAAGTTTATCATAATGTATATTCAAGATATGTTAAGTTCACTAATTTTAAGTAACACTGCAACATGAAACGTTTAAGAAAACATCTTAACCACACAGACTCTAGTGAGGTTAATTTCTCTAGGCTTCTGGGRAAAGCAAGAGAAGAGTGGTTTGATGGCATGGTAGATGGTAGAATTATGAAGAGACTTTTCCTTTTTTGTGGAGCTCAAGTAAGACTGTGGATGTACTGTTAAGAAAAATAATTTAAGACTTCATGTCAAATTTTAAGATTCCAAATCATATGAAAGAGGCCTCAGAAATTCTAAGAACACTAGTCATAGAACCGGATGCCACCAAGAAGGTCAGTGTGGCTAAGGGACCTCCATCTCCCCAGTCCCTGGCAATGGTTCCCCTGACCTCCTGACAACCCTGACCCCTCACCCACCAAGCCCTATGCTGAGCTTTGGTCCCTCTAGCTGCTCATGTTCCTCATGAACCACGGAAGTCACCACCCCTCCCTTCCCAATGCCCTAATCTGGTCACATTCCCACCTTCATCCCTCCAAGCTTCAGGGATGTTCCTGGATGTCACCAAGTCCATCTGCAGCTGGGGAAAGGGTTGCTTGATTCACCCTGTCCCCATCACCAGCAATCAGCATGGCAAGGCTGCCCAGGTTCCAGCCAGGAACCTAGCTCAGCAGAGCAGTGTGTGGGGGCAGGGATTCTCCCAAGGCACTCTGTCCTACATACACCTATTCAGAAAGGGCAGGAGCCCTGCAGCCCACAGGTAARGCCCGAGTTCACTGACTGGTCAGACAAGCCCCTCCCAGTCCAACCCAGCCAGACACATCTCCCACAGGCCCACCCCACAGGGCCACCCTCCAGGGACGTATGCCTTATCCCAGTCTCCCCAAGAAAGAGAGTACCTCTTACCTTCCTTGTCTTTGTACCTGGCTTCCCTTCCACCCAAAATGCCCTTTCCCACTTAGGGACTCCTGCTTGTCCTTCAGGACACAACGCAAGGGTGTCATTCACAGGATGCCAGGCTCTGCTCACCCTTCTCTCTTCCTATTGCCCTTGGTTCCTTACACATTGCCAGAGGAGTTTCTTAGTAAAATCCCTGCCCTTTCCTGAGATCTTATGTGCCAGGCCATGGGCAGCCTGTTACCTCTGGAGTCTTCCCCCCAAACCTCTATGGGGTGAGGTTGGTCTCACCCCCATTGTACAGGGAGCTGGGCCAGATCCACACCAGCCTCCCTAAAGGCAGCAGCTGCATCGCCTCCTCTTTCCCTCCACAGCACCGCCGCTGGCCCAGGAAGGTGCTCAAAAAGCTCCAAGAGAAAGGAAGGGAGGGTGGAAAARGGGTCACAGGTGCCTTCTACCTGTCGGTCACCAAATAACAGGTTATCGCCTGCCACTTCAGACACCTGTTCCCATACTCAGCTCCCTGGACTATGTCTAAGATGCCATAAAGCCAAGGCCATTGACCCAGTGAGCAGAGGGGTGAGGAGAACCCAGAAGACCAGTCTCAGTAGTATTTACTTCAGGTGGGCAGCAAGGAGGGAGAAGGCAACCAGAGTCTGAAGGCTGGGTGGTGCCTGGGCCCCAGGTGACTATCACCTGGCTTGTCAGCCAAACAGGCACACACCCAGGGCAAACACCTCCCCCTGGGTGGTCATTCTTAACATTTTCAATGGACATGTCCTAAAACCAGCCCAATGGGCAACTCTTTCCAGTCTGGGATAAGGAAGACCCCCGGCCAGAGTCCAAAGAACCAACACAGGGCTCCAGCCTAGATCCTCAGATAAAGAGGCAAATGGAGACATCTTAGAAGAACCCACCAACTTGGAGGCCCCACTGCACTTCTTCCCTAGAGAAGGACGGGTAACCTGTCCCTGGCTTTCCCTGGACCTAMAGTCAGACATGCTGGAGCCCCCATCCCTGCCAGCTGGGGCAGGAGAATGGGAATCAGTACTTACCCGTGCTATGACCCGACTCCTCCACTGACGGCTTGGTCCAGTCTTGGGCCTTGTMGATGTGAAATAACTTCAGATCATCTTCATCCAAAGCAATGTCTCCCCAGAAGACAGCTAGGAAGGAAAAACGAAAGTGGTTCAACTAAAGCTGGAAGTCAAGAAAATGAATTTACAAAGGCCCCAGAAGGTGTGGGATGTTGAGGAGCAAACTCTAGAAAAGACAGTCCCCCCAATCAAATCTCTCCCTGAGCAACTTGGGGGACTCAAATTGCTGGCAGAGAAAGAGGAAYGGCAGCTATTCTGCACATGAAAGCCATGGGGCTAGGGGCCAACATCCATGGGAATCCAGATCCTTGGTCTACAAGGCATTTTGAAAGGCCCCCAACTTACCCTAATTCTAGGCAACTTTGGGTAAAGCTGCCATATAAAGAAAGCTTTTTCTCTTCTTCGGTCCCCAGGATATAAACAACAAAAAAAAAGCATAATGTCATCACTCATACTATTGTTCACAATATCTGCTGCCCTTCCCCAGGGGAAGATTATATTTCCCTGCCCCATTGATGTCAGGATTGGCCACATAACCTGTGGTGACTAATCCAGTGTGCAAGGAGGCCTTAGGAGTTAGCACATGATTCACCATGTTCTCCTTTCCCTCTCCCAGAAGACAACAAGGCTCTGCACAGGGTAAGCCTACCCTGGGATCTCCAGCATAGATGATGTGAAGCACAGGCAGGGCTTGTCAGGAGGATGTGCTGCTCTGATCTGAGGTCCATGTGTTAAAGGCTTGGTCCCCAGGGTGACACTATTGGAAGATGGTAGAGCCATTAAAAGATGGAGTCCTATGGGAGGGCTTTGGGTCCTAGGGATGCTCTTGAAGGAGACCCTGGCCTCCTCCTCTTTCTCTTTGCTCGCTGGTGATGGGGTGAGCAGTTTTATTCCACATGGACTCCCACCATGATGTGCTGCCTCACCACAGGCCCAAAATAACAGGGTCAACCCAACACAGACTGGATCTCTAGTACTGTGAGCCCAAATCAACATTTTCTCTTTACAAGTTGATTATTGCAGGTATTTGTTACAGTAACAGAAAGCTGATTGTAGCGTGGATGGAGGTGGGGGGAGAAAAACTTGTTTTTATAACCCTCTCAGATTCTGGAACATTTGTAACTAGAGCACAACTTTTTTATCCTGATTAATACAGAAATTGCTATCAAAGGTGGTCTGGTAGTATAATAAGAACCCACTATCTTTAGGCCAGCTGTCAAGGAGATTGTTACTAAAGGCTGAAAAGAGGTGATGGATGTTTGCAGAGTTGAGGCATCGGGTAAACTGTCGCCTGCATTAATTTGGAAGGCAGATGATGGACTGAATGAGCATATGGCTTTAAGAGAAGGGACTGAAACTCAGAATGTTAATTGCCTGCTTTGGTTGCTATTAGCTATGGTGAACAAGGTCCTAAAGAAAGAAACAAGCTCAGAAAAGAACTGGACAAAATTTATTAGGAATAAAACAAACAAATAAACAAGAAGTGTGCAAAAATTTAAGGATTTGGAGAGTTGAAAGAGCCAATCTCTTCTCAAAATGAAACAATAAAACTGAGAAGTTTGAGTCATAAGGACTGATTAAAACYCAGCTTCGTGGTATAGGTAGGTAAGAACACTCATCCACTATTAATGGGAATGGAAAACTGGCAACTTTATTTAAAAAATGAAATATAAACTCATCATAAGAACCATAAACCCCATTCTTAGTGATCTTCCCAAGAGAAATGAGAACAAATTCATACAAAGACATATACTCAATATTTGTAGCATCCTTATTCATAAGGACTTGGGGGACTCAAATTGAGGGTAGCCTCAAACTTAGAACAATCTAGATGTCCGTCAACTGTTGAACAGATAAATAAAATGTGGCGTAACTATACATTGGAACATCATTTAGCAATTCGAGGGAATAAACTGTAGACATGTACTACAACATGTATGAATCTCAAAAAACATCATTTTAAGTGAAAGAACCATATGCAAAGGACTACATGTTAAATGATGTTACTTACATGAAATGTCTAGAAAAGGCTAATTGATAGAGTGAGGAATATTAGTAATTGACTAGGACCAGGGATGGGAATAAGGATTGACTACAAATGAGCTTGAGGGGGACTTTCAGGCTGATGAAGTGCTCTAAAATTAGATTCAAGAAATTGTTCAATTTACTAGAATCATGGAATTGCACCCTTAACAAGGGCAGAATTATACAGTATGAAAGTTACACCTACAGGAAACTATTAGAGGAAAATAAACTCAACCTTGTAGCAAGGACCAATCAGGATGGTGCCTAGTAAATCCTTTCCATTGAAAAAAGAAAGGTATAAGTAAAGGAGACTAATCCTGAAATTCTCTCACAGAAGATTAATAAGAGCAAAGGAGCAGAGATACCTGGCTAGGAAATCACTGTGTGGCCATGGTACAGAGGTGGTCCACACAGACGTGAAGGTGACCAACATCTTCAGAACAGCACAGTGCCCAAGGGGCCCCTAGCATGACCACAAGAGACCTAATAGTTGTAGGGCCTTTTGCAACATTTGCCCAACATGATTTCAGCGTTTTTATGGAACCATGACTATTCTTGCTCCCAGGCGTCCCCTTTCTGTATGGAAATGTCTGTTACACTTATCCTATTTCTGATCTATCACTGAATATTGAGTATAAATGGGAGGGAGTGAGCATGTAATTCTACTTAGTTTTGTTTTGTTAGTTTGCAAGTCTCTGGAGGAAGAGGAGTCACCTCATGACTCAGTATAGAGGATCACAAGACCGAGGACTTTGAGGCTGGTTTCAAGACTGCACAGGACTTTGGGGTCTCCCCTGTRGAAGGATAAATACATTGTGTATATGGGAGAAGGAAAGAAAATATTAATCACCAGAGGAGAGGAGATGAATGATAGAATCTATTATTGTTTGTAAATGTATTCTTTCTCCTAGATATAAATTTGTGCTTCCACATCTCTCTGATGTYGGTTTTCGCCATGTGATTTTTTTTTTCCTGGGTATTGAAAGTGAGMGAAGTGACATGAGTCACTTCTAAGCAGAACCTCTGAGACCTGGCACAAGGTTTTTCATGTTCCCTTTTCCCACATCGATAGGAGGATGATTCATAAATTAGTGGCTCCACAGGCTGGGACACAGAGTGAAGATGTGAGATGAGACATAGACCTCTGAGGCGATGACACAGAGTTGAGAGAGGTAGGGGCATTCAAAGTACATGCTTTCGAGATAGAAAGATCTGGGGTCAAACCCTTCTGTTGCTATTTAAGAGCTGTGTAATCTTAGGAAAATCACTTGATCCCTTTGAGCTACAGTTTCCTCATCTGGAAACAGGGTTGGAAATACCTTGTAGAGTTGTGTGAGATGAAATGAGATGAGATGTGTTGATTACTCATTAAATGATTGAGCATTCAGTCSAGGACCTGGCCCACAGGGAACACTGGAGGTAATGAGTGGTGCCACTCTAACTTTCACTGAGTTTGCCTAGACACCTGTCTCTACCCTGCTCCCTTTCCTTCTCCAGAAGACCCTGCCCCAACAAGGCTTAATTCAACTCCCATATTACTATATTCTTGAAGAAGGAAGAATATAATAAAAATATTAACCCTTTTCAAATTAATGTGTATATTTAATACACTTTAATACAAAAATCACAATAATTTTTATTATTAAAAAACTGATATTAAATTTCATCTGCAAAAGTAGGTGATAACAGTAAGAACAAGAGGACCAAAGGAGAACTGGTTTCATCAGACAWCAAAATGGGATAAAGCTTCAACCATCCTGCCATGCAGAATAGTCCRAAAGCAGTCTCTAGACTATATAAGAAGACTCTTTGATTAAATGAGGTTTCGTTAATTTGTGGAAAGTAAGAGATTAATGAATGAATTATGTTAAAACAAATGGGTTAGCTATTTGAGGAAAAATCAAGTTGGCTTTGAACTTCAAATAAAACACCAAAATAAATTCCAAATTAAAAAATTTAATCAACAACTGGCTCAACAATATTTAGAAGCAAATGAGCTAAATTTATACAGTCAGGCCTCTGTATCCATGGGTTTTGCATCTATAGATTCAACTGAAAATGGATCAAATRTATTTGGAAAAAACAGTGTCTATACTGAACATGAAAAGATTATCTTTCCTCTTATTATTCCTTAAACAATACAGTATAACCACTACTACATATTTACACTGCCTTAGATATGAGAAGTAACCTAGAGATTATTTAAAGTATACAGGAAGAAGTGCAGAAGATTGTAAATACTATGCCATTTTTATAAGGGACCTGAGAACCCATAGATTTCCATATCCAAGGACAGTCCTGGAACCAACAACCCATAGATACCACATGACAATTTGCACATTTATCACACACAGCTATTGAATTCTTACTAAAAGGCAAACATGACCCGTGCCAGCAGAAGACTCACAAATTATTTTCATCATCTCTTCCATTTCCAACTGTTAAAAGTGCAGTCCACAGACCTGCAGCATCAGCATCATCTTGGARCTTGAGAGAAATGCAGAATCTCAGACCCTAGACCTGCCAAATCAGGATGTGCATGCTAACAAGATCCCTCAGGTAAATCATATGCACATGACATGTTGAGAAGCACTGAAGCAAGGGACTAGAGACAATCTCCAACAACTGTGACCCTGGTGTCACGGGCTCACCACCATCTCTCTTATGCATGTCATGGCAGAGCAATTCTCCGTAGAGATATAGAATTTGAATGGAGAGGTCACAGGAAGCAACTCAAATGCACAACAAGGAAATTGCCCTCCACTCCAACACTGCCTGGCTGCAGGGGAACCTCAACCTGCAATTCAAGTCACTGCCATCAGGTGGAAGTGTTTGCTTAGGAAGCTCTGGCTCATAAATAAACATCACTTCAGGAACAGATAATGAAACCCAATAGGAAAAATGCTTTTCAGAAATCGTAAATAGAAATCCTTAGAAATTAGTCAAATACAGTTGAAAAGCTATTATATAATAAGTATGGAAATACCATATCTTCTCTCAGGGGTAGRCTGATATTTAACAAGTGGCTGGGAGAGTGTTTGCTG